CACTACACTACACTACACTACACTACACTACAGTACACTACACTACACTACACTACACTACACTACACTACACTACACTACACTACAGTACACTACACTACACTACACTACACTACACTACACTACACTACACTACACTACAGTACACTACATTACACTACACTATACTATGCTATGATACTCTACGCTACATTACATTACACTACGCTATGCTACACTACACTTCACTACATTACACTACACTACACTACATTACACTACACTTCACTACATTACACTACACTTCACTACATTACACTACACTACACTACATTACGCTACACTACACTACACTACACTACACTATATTATGCTACACTATACTATGCTATGCTACACTACATTAATTACACTACACTACATTACACTACACTACACTACACTACACTACATTACGCTACACTACACTACACTACACTACACTACACTACAGTACACTACACTACGCTACGCTACTCTACGCTACGCTACACTACATTACGCTACTCTACGCTACTCTACTCTACGCTACACTACAGTACACTACACAACATTACACTACACTACACTACACTACACTACACTACACTAGGGAAATAGAGCAACAAAGCCTTTGAGGGTTTCAGATAATTGAGACTAAATTGTCTAACTAAATATAAACCTGTTTAAAGTTAGATAACAAACAAAGTAACTTATCTGAGATCTTACATGAAACAACATGAAAAACAATGAAGCAACAACAATCAGAAGAACAGCAGGTCACAGTAGGGTTCCTGTAGTTTGAGGACCATGAGGGCAGAACTTTGCTCCAGGTGTTGACTGGAATGCTAAAAGCAGGTACGTACCGGTGGGTTTCCATTTTGGAGGCCAGAACACATCTGTGATTGAGAATGAAGCTGGAGGCTTTGGACTGTGGACCGGAGGTCTGGATCTGCATGGCTCCACGCAGCCTGACCCTGCCAGCCCAGTCCTGCTGCTCCTCGGGGTCCCGGGCCCCTGACGCCTCCTTTTATCTGATCAGCTGGCCAAATTATTTCTACACTTCTCTGTGTGTCTATAAAAGGTCTTTCCTCATCGTTTGAACGTGGATACCAGTGAACCCATCACACACCCAGGCTCCTGCTCTCGTCGAAGCCTCCAGATCTTCCTTCTCCAGTCAAAAATGCGATGTCAGCGCGTCGGCCAGGAAGAGGACACGCAGGTGAGCCGTCCGCACCGTCAGCCAACTCTCCGTTTCCCAGTGGCATCACCGCCGGCCAAAGATCCCACACAAACACACGCTTCAGTCCTGGCTTGTTGCCGTCGCGGCGGCAGCAGGGGTATCCAGGCAACAGGCTCCTGCTCCGTGGAGAAGGCTGCTGTGGGAAAACACCACGGTCCAGAACCGGTCCAGTCAGGAGGACCTACGTTGAGAAAGCAGGGAGGGACAAAGCTGTTCCTCGGCTGCTTGTCGTCTCGCTGCCTCGGCTACATTTCTCTTTACCTTTGGCTTTAAGATGATCTGCCCCTTTCATCTGCCTCCTCCCCTCCAGCTCCCTGTAGCTGCTGTTATCTGTGCTCCACACGCCGTGCTGCCTCCGACTCACCATCCACCCACCTGACTCCCTCCTCTCCTCCTCTATTCACTCGCTCCAACACAAAGCAGAAATGAGCAGCAAGACTCAGCTATGTTTAGCTGATGGAGCCTAGGTGAGAATCACCCAGCATCTGATAAACACACTCCCTGAGTGTGTGTGTGTGTGTGTGGGGGGGGGGGTCTCACTCTGACACACTGCAGGCTCAGGTATTCATTCTGTAAACACAGTGAATGTGTGAGCTGGCTCTGAGTGATGACACACATTCATTTAATCATCTGGTAGAATAATGTCATCCATCAGAGCACTTTACCCACAGACTGAAGGATTTAATGAAGTCAGATTAAATGTAGCTGCCTGACAGTCAGCAGGCCTGTCCTCTGTTTCTGCTGCTGCTTCACATGAAACACAACTGTTCTGAAGCAGGGCCAACGGTACAGACTATTTACTGGAGAGCAGGGCTTCTTAACCTTTCTGACCTCGGGGCCCAGTTTGTTCAACATAAAGTGACCTGAGGTCCAGTCAGACATTACTAATAGATCAAAATGATAATTATTATAAAGCTTGGTTTAATTTTTATTGTATTTACATCATAACTAAACTCAAAAATCCATAACAATTATTTGAACAAATACAAAGGTCAGTCAACAGACCACTCAGGCTTATCAACACAAATATATAT